TTATTAGACTTACTAGCTTCTTTGGTATACCAAATTCAGTAAGAATATTATATAACACTTTTCAATTCACAGAGTCATAGGCTTTTTTGAATTCAACCTGTAAATGTACAGACAAGGCACCCACGTCAGCTGTTACAGAAACAACATTGACAGAATGGCTAACAAAGCATGGCATTAAAGTGATTAATACTTTAAAGAAAAGCAGAGCTTCTGCAACTTGTGAGAGAAATAATAACAATCTATATCTATCAACATTGACCTTACTGTAGTGCTCTGGACGTAAAGAGATAAATCCCAGCGCCGCCACCGGTCGAAGAGTTAATCGAGAACATTTGTGATATGAGCCAGACTCGTTGCAGCTCTCGGTACATTGGGAAGGCAAGGCATAAATAGAATTTGTGATCGGGTTATTTATGTTACATCTCAGAAAGACGTAGCCAGTCAGAAAGAAAGAGACATTGTGTGTTAAAACAATTTTATTTAGTCAGTAATTCTTACGAAACATGACAACACCTGCCCTCACCAACAGAGTCCATTGACGCAATTTCCGAGACACTGGTTACACGTCGTCCCCGGATTGTACATGCTACTGCCGCCTCCCACGACGTTGCCGCCAGGACCGTAGTTACACACGTACAACTTGCCGTAGTAAGTGGAGGAATATGTGTACGCTGTGAAACCGCAGCCGACTTTGTACGTGTCGGCCCACACTACCTGGCTGTAATGCCCAGTACTTGAACTGAACCTAGAAAACAGGGAGTCAGAACACAGTTAACGCGCTTTTACTAAATGTTATCTGAATGCTTCGAACTAGGCTGAGGTGTGTTTACTCACTGGAAGGGACTAATACTGTTCTTGCTGAATAACGTCACTTCGTTGTACCAGGCCTGCACTGCAGCATTCCAGTCCTGCTGCCCGTTTGGCGTCACACCCGATGTGCGAGACATGTACATGTTCTGTCCTACGTAGAACCTAGCTGGAATAGAAAACAGGAGACTCGCTGTAGTTTAAGCCAATTACTTTGAGCCTAGTAACTGCGTTATCGTCTTTGGAGTAATCTGTCTACGATTTCTACAGACATAGTTGCAAAACAATGGAAACCGAGTCCCTTTTTGGGTCCAGTTACGTAACAATTCTCCCGGTCCATATTAGTTTAAAAGTGACCCAAGAGCCGTTGGAGATCACTGTTGTTCAACAACGCCTCCTATACTCGTCTGTGGAATTTATACTCGCGTAGCAACTGTAGTCCTGTGAGAATGTAGCCTCTGAGCAGATAAAGCTTCCCCGGCAATAGATTTTTATCTGTAGTAAATCAATTCCTGCATGAAACCGAACTGAATGTGTTTGGAAACACCTTATGCAGTGAAATAAACTAGGCCTCCTTTTATTACTCTAGTTTGAATTTAAATTGGATAAATTATTGCAACTTAAAACTACGTACGTGCGTTTAGGCCTACCATAAACCGTTCTGAAAATGTATTTTTAAATACACAAATATTTTAATGTTTTAGCATAACAAATTAGTAACATAACCTACCAACACTCCGGCACGTGTCATGTTGAAAGGTGCACTGGTTCGCCCATCGCTGCGCCACTGTCGCCAGCTCGTCATCCCACGTCTGCAAATCCAAATGTGCAAATTTCAAATTTACTTAAACAGACACACCTGTATCTGAGGCACCTCACTGTCCTAAATTTAAATATTGACGGGTATACACTACAATTTGAGGCTCTTACTGAGTAATGCACCACCAGACATTAAAATATATAAATATGTGGCCCTGAATATGATACTCACAATCTTACGCATGTTTTGTGCAGCAGGCTGTGGACCAGGGGTTCCCCTCGTCTCCAGTCCATTGGCCACATTGCTGCGCAAAGCATTATGGGCGTTAACAATCGTCTGCTTGTCAGTAGCACTTGTTAGTCCTGAGTATACCGGTGAGACACAGCTTGCTCCGTAATTCTGCAAAAGGAATTAAGGAGGATTGTTATAGAAGACGTGTTGCGTGGATCGTCCTCCCTTCTTGAAAGGCTAACATATAATCCTACCCGGGCCTAGTGATATCCTTACCGTCGTGGGATATAAGCACATTGTGTGGTTAATGCAGACACTGGTATAGCTGCATGTGGACTGGCTGCTAACTGCGACAACCAGACTCGCCAGGAGTACAGAACCTAACATCTTGTTTCTGAAACAGATAAGAATATCTCTCACTTCAACAGACTCTCCGTTTGAAGATCAAACTAGCTTGGAGAGTTTCGTCTTATAATCTGTCTTAGTCGCGATATTTCTATATGTCGTCGCCGTTTGCAATTTACGCTTTCTCAGATTAAGACAGGATACTATATGCCATTGTATTCGACTGGAAATATTCTGTATTCAAAGTATTAAAGCTAATAAAGGACTGAAACATTAATAGAGTCCGGAATGAAGGTTTACATTCTGTACCACCAATTTGTAAATCAAAAATACTACAATTTCGAATGTAGTTCTAAATACCACGGGATATATTCACAATTCGGATGCAACACTTCGTTCTGCCTGCCACATGTGCCTTGGGTGTATGCAACCCGTGCTACAAATCCACCGATCGCTCTAAGTATTAACGAAGTCTTCAGGGTTTCGGTCACTCCCCAGTTTGGTAAAGATTGTTCATTGGGTTACTGAGATGTCATTTAAGTTTCTCCACTGCGAATCGAGCATCGGTCGTCCAAAAACGTTCCCTCTCTACTGATTTGTCTGTACGGATTGAAATCAACAGGAATCCGGTCGCTCTTAACAGATATCGGACCCAAGAAATGTAGACCTCTTAGCAGTCGAACTTTGTTAACCGTATTATATAAAATATTGATTGACGTGATTAAACACGACAAATTTCGGTAACAGAATAAAATAATGAACGCTTTTTCAAAGCGATCATTTCATCCGAGTGTTAACCATGCCCACTGATCCTAAATTCGTTTATCTGATGAGAATATATCAAATCTAAAACTTGTCGACGATGGTGATGAGTCATTAGAATAAGAATTTTCTTGGATATTATGCATCACCTAACTAACTAACTAACTAACTAACTAGATGGCTTACCGAACCCGAAGGTTCATCACCGAATTAACCAAAGCCCTCCACCGGACCCTGTCCTGGGCCAACAAAATCCAGTCTCCTTCAACTCCTATCTCCCATAGATCCCGCCTGAGATTATCCTCCCATCTACGTCTAGGTCTCACCAGCGGTCTCTTCCCTTCAGGTTTCCCAACCAGTACCCGGTGCACACCTCTTGTCCCATCCATGCGCGCTACATGCCCAGACCATCTCACTCTTCTCGACTTAATCACCCTCACAATACTGGGGGAGCAATACAGATTTTTAAGCTCGTCATTGTACAGTTTTCTCCACGCCCCATCGTCTTCCCTCTTAGGCCCAAATATCCTCCCCAACACCCGATTCTCAAACACCTGCAATCTGTGTTCCTCCCTCTGAGTGAGAGACCATGTTTCGCACCCATACAAAACAGCAGGCAAGATTATTGTTCTGTATACTGCTTTTGATTTTTTAGTGTCAGGTCGTTATCGATACATTTATTCACACTAAACAAAGAATCTTTTTTTTAAAAATTACCAAGGGACAAAAATATTACTAATTAACAAACAAAGTGTCAGAGACTAATTAGATTAGTGTTCTCAAAATGTGATGACAGGCGTTAAATAAGATATTAATGGACGTTATTTGATGTACTGATCCTCATCTGTAGATACAATATGCGAAAATAATAATAAAAACGGACCCAAAATATCGATGCGACCTACTAGATATTACTAAAATTTTCAACTAACATTAATTATGAGAAAGTAATTATCGAAAGTATAACAACATCGCTGAGGTTAGAAATTAATGTTTTTGCAGGCCGTATTTTGTACACTCCTGATAAACTGATTTGGTCATACACGGGACTTCAAATTGGGATTTTTAATACCTCTAAGAACCCCCGGTTAAATTTTTCGTTTCAAATGGGGAGATCATTTACAGAATTACAAATGTTCCGGGCTTATTAACAGTGTATGAACTCGCTGTAAAAATCAGTTCACAGAATTAATCCTGCTAGCTCGGTCACGTGATTGGTTACCTTGGTCGGCCAAAGTTTGAGCAGTTTCGTCGTTCTCGGCTGCTGACAATTTTGAGATTCCGGTTTCACGCGCAAGGCGACTCAGTGATTTCTGTGGTGTGCGTTGTAACCTTGGACCTGTTTCGTCTCGTTGTCCTTCGGTAAGCACGCGTCGCTTTTGGTAGATTTTTTGTCCAGAAATAAACCAGTAGATCGAAATTTATTACTAAATTTATGGATACCTGCTGTGCTTGGAACAGTTAACCCGGGAAATTTACGAACGAAATTTTTCACAATTCTTTTCTAGCGGTAGCACGTTTCACAAACTGTTCTTATAGGAAAAACCCCATTCGACGGTATATCAAACCATATTCACACACACAATAATAACCAGCGTTTAACAGATGAAATATTGTGTGAATTATTTTAGCGTCAATTCCTGATGATGCCTGGCGATGTGTCATGCCCGGAGCCGGGAAGTGACAACTGCGTTTAACTTTGTCAGTGGACGAACTGTATGACAATGAGTGGATTTATGGGAATAAGCGAGCGACGCCGTGAAAGAGAGGAAAGTTAGTGGCTGATTCGGTGATAACAAAGAATTCACTAGACACTGTACAAGAATAAGAAAGTAAAAGTGAGTAAACCTTCTGGTACATGTAACTGTTGCGTGGTACGAACAGAGTCGTAGTATAAAAAGTGATTTCAATAACAATGAAGGAAATATAACTACACTTTCTCTCCAGTTATCGTAACGCCACTGTCCGCTTACGAAACGTCGCCCTTTCACATTTCTGTGCTGAGAAACTAGTGAAAACTGTTTACACTTTAATAAGGAACTAACACCAAAACAGGTGTTTCAAAACCAACTTCACTCACATTCAAAAAAAAAAAAGGACCCTGGTTACAATACTAATGTTCAAATATGACAGTTTCGCAGATGGTTAATGACGTCACGCTGTCTGCAGAAAATAATTATTTAAAACACTTGAAAGCGGAGTAAAATCTTGGAGATAAAATGCTTTACGTGTTTTAAACTGCACGGTATCTGCTTTATTTTTTAATAGTTTATTTAGAGAAACTTTCTCAAGTGCATAAGTTACAAAGTTCTGAGTGATTCTATCATAGCAAATTATGAAATGAGGCACATTTGGATAGTTTACGTATCATATATTTGAATGTTGTATCTCAACATATGTATACAGGAACTTAGAAAACCTAGACAAATCGTCAGTCAGTGCAGAACAACTCCTGACAGAGCATACAAATCGAGTAGAAAGCGGAAATTGTAACACTTCTACTAGCTAGGTAAGATTTCAGGTTCTCACGGCGAGTATTAAGATGGCTGTCTTCTGGGATGTTGCATGACGTTATAGTCTGGTGGAAACTGAATGACGTTTCAGATATGCTCACTGCCTCCATCATCGTGGCGATGATGAAGGCAGTACGCACCTCTGAAAAGTCGGTCAATTTTCACCATACTTGGCACAATATCCCATAAGACAGTCATCTTCATATTCCTATTGTCTTAACTACATTAACTTTGGACGAAAATCTGCCAGCCTGCTGTTCATTTTCTGTGTTATCAGTCGCCTTTATCACATTGTTCAGGCTACACGCTTAACTGCACAGTCGGAGAAGTTGCCGCCCTCTCGAGGCGGCGATTAGGCTCACTACACTGACACCCGCATTAAAAACGACGTTTCTGACACTGCGAATAACAAACAAATATATTTCTGTGCAATATAAGCGTTAAAGGATGACTATATAAGAATATATCGACGTGTGATACATTTATTACATGCTGTTCCATAACTGAAGTGGATGGAGCACATCTGACGTAAACATAGATGAAGATTTTGAACCTTTCTTAGCGGAAATTATTATGATAATTATTAATCAACGTTAAATTTGACTAAATTCGTTAGCTACTAATAATTCTTTGTAACTTTCCTGGAAAAAATACTCCGGTGAATAAGATAAAAGGAATAACACGTGAAAACAAGGCTTCAAGGGCCGATTTTTATGTCAACCAATATGGCTCGATACCCTTTTCAAGTCCACCTGAACACATTGTTATATCCACCGTTACACGTACTCTAATGAGTATGATACTCACAATTGTACGCATGTTTTGTGCAGCAGGCTGTGGACCAGGGGTTCCCCTCGTCTCCAGTCCATTGGCCACATTGCTGCGCAAAGCATTATGGGCGTTAACAATCGTCTGCTTGTCAGTAGCACTTGTTACTCCTGAGTATACCGGTGAGACACAGCTTGCTCCGTAATTCTGCAAAAGGAATTAAGGAGGATTGTTATAGAAAGCGTGTTGCGTGGATCGTCCTCCCTTCTTGAAAGGCTAACATATAATCCTACCCGGGCCTAGTGATATCCTTACCGTCGTGGGATATAAGCACATTGTGTGGTTAATGCAGACACTGGTATAGCTGCATGTGGACTGGCTGCTAACTGCGACAACCAGACTCGCCAGGAGTACAGAACCTAACATCTTGTTTCTGAAACAGATAAGAATATCTCTCACTTCAACAGACTCTCCGTTTGAAGATCAAACTAGCTTGGAGAGTTTCGTCTTATAATCTGTCTTAGTCGCGATATTTCTATATGTCGTCGCCGTTTGCAATTTACGCTTTCTCAGATTAAGACAGGATACTATATGCCATTGTATTCGACTGGAAATATTCTGTATTCAAAGTATTAAAGCTAATAAAGGACTGAAACATTAATAGAGTCCGGAATGAAGGTTTACATTCTGTACCACCAATTTGTAAATCAAAAATACTACAATTTCGAATGTAGTTCTAAATACCACGGGATATATTCACAATTCGGATGCAACACTTCGTTCTGCCTGCCACATGTGCCTTGGGTGTATGCAACCCGTGCTACAAATCCACCGATCGCTCTAAGTATTAACGAAGTCTTCAGGGTTTCGGTCACTCCCCAGTTTGGTAAAGATTGTTCATTGGGTTACTGAGATGTCATTTAAGTTTCTCCACTGCGAATCGAGCATCGGTCGTCCAAAAACGTTCCCTCTCTACTGATTTGTCTGTACGGATTGAAATCAACAGGAATCCGGTCGCTCTTAACAGATATCGGACCCAAGAAATGTAGACCTCTTAGCAGTCGAACTTTGTTAACCGTATTATATAAAATATTGATTGACGTGATTAAACACGACAAATTTCGGTAACAGAATAAAATAATGAACGCTTTTTCAAAGCGATCATTTCATCCGAGTGTTAACCATGCCCACTGATCCTAAATTCGTTTATCTGATGAGAATATATCAAATCTAAAACTTGTCGACGATGGTGATGAGTCATTAGAATAAGAATTTTCTTGGATATTATGCATCACCTAACTAACTAACTAACTAACTAACTAGATGGCTTACCGAACCCGAAGGTTCATCACCGAATTAACCAAAGCCCTCCACCGGACCCTGTCCTGGGCCAACAAAATCCAGTCTCCTTCAACTCCTATCTCCCATAGATCCCGCCTGAGATTATCCTCCCATCTACGTCTAGGTCTCCCCAGAGGTCTCTTCCCCTCAGGCTTCCCAAA